GTGACTCGCTTTATGAAACTATATTTACTAATTTGTCCTTGAATTTTGTAAGCGAATATAAAGGCATATTTGCATTTGACTTGAAAAACGTAATGAACGTCTTTGCTAACTGAACTTCATGCTGTATGAAGCCCATATAAAATTCAGATTTCGTAAAAAGAGGACCCTCCTAAAATACTGAAATTACTTTGATTATTTTTAATCAAAGTAATTTTATTAATACTGTTTTGAGGAGTTGAAAGTTTATAAAGTCCTAGCTAGACTCAATATTTAAAGAAATAATATTTATAACGAACTTTCTCTAACATCTTTTGTGATAATCATGTTTATACAGTAAGCCATTGCATTTTGGATGTTCCGCTTAAGGAACGTATGTGCGGGATGAAAAATGTCCTCCATAGCGAACGCTTTATGAACCGCTCGTGAATTTTATCTTATACTATCCGTTTGGTGGTGAATTTTACCTTACCGCTCGCCAGTTTTATCTTATAGCCGTTTGCGCAGCTAGCCCCTAAATTAGGTATTATAAAAAATAGCAATATATACAATGAGACAAAAGTCTTATTAATGAGTCTAGCTCAGGTGTTCTTAACCAGTGCAGAATTCTCCGTTTGGGGGGGGGGAATTTCGTAGTGGGGGAATGTGGTCAGCCTTTTATTTATCCGTTAAGTATTTAGTTTTAGTTTATGACTATAAAAAATAATGTTTATTGAAGTTTTGGTATTTATCAACGTTTTCTTTATTTTTTTTCTGTTTAATTCATACAACGCATTAAAAATAATTTAAATTTAAATAAATGCACATGCATTTTTTTAGCTTTATAAAAGAGCTGGGGATGATCGTCTAGCATTGATGAAAGGAACGTATGGAGGAAAAAAGGTTAAGAACCACTAATCTAGCTTCATATTGTCAGTTAGTGATTAGTGATAACAGAGATGAAAACTGCGTTATTGCTTTTAAATCGCATAGTTTGTTTATCACTAATAGACAGATTAATTTCTAAGGAAAACTTAAATATTTTACTTTATAATAAATATTTATAATTTTACTTTATAAACTTAAATATTTTAAATCTTTGCCGAATGGCAATGCACTCTCGAGTAGAAGATTAAAAAAAAAAAAAAATTATTTCAGAAGGGGCAACACATTTCTTTTAATTCGATGAGTCTTCTAGTTAAATTTAAATCATAACTATCTTACGTCTTGCATAGTCGCAACATGTTGCTTTTAAATATCTGAGTGAGTAAAAAATTCATTAATTTCGCGTAAAATAGGAAATAAGTAAAAAAACAAACTCGAAGTTCAAAATTTATTCTTCGAGATGCACATTTTGAGTGGAGGACTATGTATGCATAAAATTTGGTCTCTGCAGGTACTCCGACTCTTCCATAATGCAAGGAACATACATAGATACACAATCTTCATTATTTAACGATACAGATAGCAATTAAAGCTAGAAATAAATTTATTTCGTTTCCTGCTTTAAAAGCTTGTAAATATTAAACAAAAAAAAGGGGGGGGAGCTCTATTTGTAAACAAAGACATCCAGCAAAGCTACAGACCAGTAATCATATTTCTGGATATTATATCACTACTGAAGAACTAGTGCCACAGACTGCTTAAAACGCATGCTGAAAAGAAAGACACCACTTGCGCAATTTTCTGAAACCTGGACTCCGAAAAAACAGAAGACATATGTACGAGTATATGTAAATGGCAGGTAACTCTTTTTGCAGTAAGACATTTAACAAATTCAAACTAAATTGAACTGAAAAATAGCTTTCAAGCTATCTACATACAGTAATGCAAAATATCAAAACTTCTGGTATTATTTCATCACGAATTATAACCATGTGCATAGTTTTCACAAAGAAAAGATTCAAATTTAGCTATTTCCCCTTACTATTCTAAAAATAGTAACTGCTTAAGTAAATCTTCTTAAACTGCGTCATTTTTAAACTAATGTTGCCATATGTTTTTTTTTCATAACGCTACTGATGGAAGCAATTATTTTTTTTTTTTGTTTAATATTTACAAGCTTTTAAAGCAGGAACTCCAATAATAATTTTGAAGCTTAAATATTATCCAAACCAGATGAAGAAAATGAAAATTATTTTGGAAGACATAACTTTTACACTCTGTGCTTAACTTTTTTCTGGGTACGACGCATTCTTGCTCTTGCTTTCTGTCCTCTTAAGATGCCGCTGCTTACATCTCTCGTAGTCTCGTTCATTCACCGTATTACCATAAGATATAAAAAATGGTAAAATATTTGAACAATACGAGAGCATATACTATGTGCAACTCATTGTAGGAATGTGCTTCTTCAAGAATAAAGAAAATTGTAACTTTATCGATCAAGCATCTGAATCTTCTCATCTGATTTATCATATGCGTTTATTTCATGCGATCGTTCGCGCAGAGGTTTGCAATAAATAAATTCCTAAAGCAGTAATATTTTTTATTTTACCCACATCCCAAGTCCGCATATGGTAAACACTGAATAACTTGGAAGCAGTTTTCTTTCAAAGTGTTCAATAGTAATAATAATAAACCCTTTTAAAATAAGTTTAAAAACAGTAAACAGATTATCAGAATCCATATGAGTAAAGACAGATTTTCTGTACCATGCTATATAATTTTTAGTCCAAAGGGGCAATTTGCTCTGAAGGACTATTAATTTCGTTTTCGCATTTTGCGTTGAAAACTATAAACGGAGACTCACTTTTGAAATTGTTGCCGCCAATTATTATCACCCTGTATTATATTTAAAGAAATTAAATAATGAAGAATCTGCATGAATGTGTGTATGTTTCTCGCTTGTGATAAAACGACGGTACTTAGAGCCATCAAAATTTGAATAAAGTAATCTTCCATAGAATATGGGCATGTGGAAGCCCTAATTTGAATTTGGTTTTATTACAGATTTCATATTTTGTAACACTTCAACGAATTTTTGATTAACAAACTAAACGATTTCAACGCTAGCAATGGCAAACTGTATGGGAAAGGGAATTTTCAGCGCGCAAGACTCTGCATCCGAAATTCTAAAGATTTGCTCATTTTAAAATTATTTTGCGATATTGCTGTTGAACTGAATTTTATGGTTTGAGTACGTAGAACATGATGTTTAATAAATAAAGGTAAGACACAAAACGTTACAATAATGCCCCTTTGGAAGTAATTTAAAATCTGAAACCTTTTAGATTTTAATTTTTTTTTATATAATTTTTTTATTCGATTTTATCTTTGATACAAGCAGTATCTACAGGCAGATGAATTAAAATGGAATTATGTAGTTTGCAAATAACTGTTTTGTAATTTATGTAAATATTTTTCCTTAGTAAACCTGCTTGTTTCACTCTGCAATCAAACAACATCCGAAAATCCGAAGATATCGTTTTAATTGTGGCTACTATTTACTTTAAAAGCAAACAAATGAACAGAAGAATTAATTTTCTTTTGTTTCTGAAAGACTAAAATGAAAATACCATGAACATAATAAATTGAGTTAATTATGGTCACATTGAGTAAACTAAAATCCTAAAATTAACTTTCTTTCCTTATTAACTACTGACTAACTTTAAAATGAACTTATGCGTTAATGATGCAAGGCAAATGTTTTAAAAAAACTTTTTATGAGGTAAGGAGATATTTAAAAGATATAATAAAATGTAAAGACTTAAAATGTTCAAGATTATTTTCATTCTGGCAAGGTACTCGAGGGTATCTACATAAAAGAAAGGATGCTTTTATGGAGGATTTTTTTAAGGGTGACCGATTGGTATTCACACGATACATGGCAAAAACCATGACAATTCATTGCAGCCAATCTATAAGATGGGATTTCACCCTCGAACTACTAGCGGATAGCAAGTTCTTTTATCATTCAGCCACTGGCGGGCTGAGATATAAAAAGAAAGATAACCGAAGATTTAGCTTGAGCCGAGTGACAACAGTCAAAAATGAAAATATTCTAAAGGCTAGAAAGTGTAGATTTTTACTTAAATTTTGAACATTCATGTGTAAGAAATGTTCAGTTTTCATATCTGCATTCAAATTATGGAGAATATCAGGACCGGCTTTAGGATTTGACCCGCAAAATGCAGTCTCTGTGCTTTCTAAATTTTGTTGCCCAAGGGCTAAAAAAATTTCAAAATTTCTCCTTCGGTGCAGCGGCACCGTTTGCATAGGCTTTGGCGCAAACTATAGAAAGTGCAAAGATTAATAAATGCAGGATAGCAAATAGACTTGGTTTTGTACATTCTTCCAAGACTAAATTAAAAATAAAAGTAATTATAAAAACCCTGAAAAGATAACTTTATTTACTTAAAACTACGAATTTTCACTTAATAGTGGTTTCTTATTGTCAGAAAGGGTGACAATCTTCCATGAATAATTCATTAGCCATTAGTACAAGCAAACGTATGAATTCCACACTTTTTCATGATTTGATTGTAATTATTTTAATGAACACAGATTTATTTTTCAACAATAGCAGATTTATTAATTACTGTAATAATAATTTTTAAGAAACTTTCTTTTTTTATGGGAAGCTTTTTAAAAATTAAAATTTGTTGTATTTTAAATACACTACTGCTTTACATCTGAAGATCGCAAATTAATACAAAATGTAATAGTATAATATGAAGTACAGAATGACTAATATGGAGTACAAAAAATATTTAAGAAATTGATTGAATAGTAATAACTTAATAATTGATTTTGTTTAAAGATAAATTTAAGGTTATTAAAATACTCAGAGAGTGAATATGAAACGACTTAGGTGGAATCCCTTTGGAGTTGTTCTTGTATATATTGCATGTTGCACATTAGCACATACTTCATATATCGACAATGACAAATATATTCATGCATTTATTTAAAGCTTGATGTAAATATAAAAATATATGTGGCTTACAAGCTTTTACTTAATCTTGCATTCATTAAGAATGAAATAGCAACAATAATTTATTAAAACAGTTTTATTAAACAGTTACCTTGGCAGATGCAGAGTGTATTGATCTGATAACCAAAACAAGAGACTAAGTTCTTTTCAATTCTAAAAGCTTAAAGGAATTAATAGAGAAATAAAATAATTAAAAACAAACAGATTGTCAAATAAAAGCTTCATAAAGCCTTTATCTTCAGGTTTGAAGGAAAAATTAAATTCTGTATTACGCACTCTATATTGTAGCTCCGAACTTGGAGTAATAGCATCCGGGTCAGGTTCTGAGTGACGCGGCATCAGTGTTCTGTGTGCAGCCGCCATTGCTAAGAAAAGGGGGAATTTGACAGTGTATGCATTGGTGACGACGGTCATCGAGTGTTATTAAACTAAAATATATTCCGAATCGTAACGATTTCGGAAGTTGATGATTAGTGTTTGTGGTGTGATGTGATCTACAAGTGTGTGCAGGATGGATTATGCGAAAGTGCCGCATGGATAATCGAGGATATTTTTTTTTGTGAGTCGTGGATAAGCTATGGAGACGAAGCAGCGAAATGGGGGGACAGGCAACAGACGCCGCCGCGACCGCGCAGCGCGGATGCAAAAACGGCAACAACGGCAGTGTGCTGCGGCTGAGGAGGTCAGCGAAAATGATGAGTCTCCTCCAGTACGACAAAAAAGGCCTCCCACCAGAAAAAAGCGAATTAAAGAACCCATATTTCAAGAGGATATAGTAGATGGATTCGCTTTTCTGTGCTTTAAAACCTACGAGGATTTAGAGGTAAGTCAGTGTATGGTGCTTACCCCTTCCCCTGTACCTCCCCCATCGAAATCATATACTCTTTATGATTATTGCAGCTTTTACTGTGTACTGTTATACTAGTATATGTATCTGTAGATGAGACTCTGTGTCTTCTTCCGCTGATGCCATTGGTGTCATGCGTCCATTTAAATATACGTCTTGGGTATACTATACATAGGTACCTAAATAATATTATTATTATACAGTGGAATTACATAAATGATCATGTTTGTAATCTTATTGTGGACGTTAAGTATTGATTTATACCTGTTTCATTTTAACAAAACAAATGTTGCATATTGTATTGTTTACATTTTCAGTACTGACCTGAAATGTTTGAAACTTAATTCCATTGTTGTTACTTTTTAATATATTTTGATTTTTATATTCCTTGTAAGGAAAGTAAAATAAAAAGCATATATTAAAAACTGTGGCAGGCCACTGTAGGTTTGGTTTTATTGAACTTTTTCTATTCTAATCGTGGTTTTTTTTTTACTTTTTTTTTACGCGTATTCATACGCAGTGGCCTTTAAATTCTAGCTTTGTTCAGTAATTTAAAAAACAAGTTTTAATCTTTCGGATTATTAAAATTATGCATTTTTGAAGCGCAGCAACAATTAATTCAATGAAATTTTTAGGTTTTAAATTGTTTTAACCGATCATCGGTTTCGAAGATGTAGGCTTAACTTCGTATTCTTCCGAAGGACATGTTTACCGCTTCAATTAAAGTATTTTTCCTTGTATAAGTCATCTGTGCATAAAATTCTTATGAATATATGAGCAAATTTCATTATAACGGAAAATAAACTTGGTATATTAGATGCAAAATTACTTGTTTTTGATTTGCTCTGTAACTATTCGTTAGCGACTCGAACGATGTTTAAATGCCATGTACAATTCTTTGTCCTAATAAATTTTGCTTCTTGAGTGATCCATTTTTGTTGTCGAGTGGTATTTTGTGGATACTTGCGGTGTTATGTTATAACTTAAGTTGTGGTGTAGGATTGCTAAAAATCGGAAAGACATTCTGATAACTTAGTGAAGCATTTGGGGTGTAGGCATCTCTAATTTGCAAGTAGGTAATTTTATTGCTAAAGGAATTCTGGCACATTAAAAAGAAATTTAAGCATTTGTTTATTACAGAAAAATGGAATTGGATGAAATTTTTCAACTAGATCCATGACTTCTAAAGTGTAAATGTTTTATTCAAATATTTTTTGAATTAGTATAATAATAATTAAAAAGTAAATTGTTAAATTAATAAAGAATTAACCTTTTAAAACGAGAGAATAGAGAGAGCATGGCTTCAAAAAAGGTGTTAAAAGATTTTTCAAGTTGTGTGATGAATTATAAACTTTAAAAATTTGCTGGTTATAAAATTACTAATTTGTGAGGAGTTGAGTTGAATCTTGAAGCTATTGGTTTTGTAAAATGGTTTGCTGTATAAATTTGTCATATTCCTGCAATATTATGATATCCTGTTTAATAATCATGTACAAGTAAATTGTTCTAAAGCAGTTAAGAGGTATTTTTTTTTAGATTTGTGATTGGCTCAGTCTTGTCCTTCTGCCTTTCTTTAACAGTAATTTTTCTATCACAAGTGAATATTAACATAAAGAAACTGATTCTTTTTTTTTTTTTGTTTGTTTAAATTAACTGTGTATATATTTGATAATCTTAAGATTACAATTACAGAATAGATATGGTCATCTTGGGTAATTCTTGGCCCAGAATCAGTAACATCCCATTCTTGTAAACCTGTCAAAACAGTGTTAAGTGTTAGTGTATAAGTATCTTGAGATATCCATATACTTAAATATAAATGTGCATATGATTTGATTGATTAACATTTTCAGTGGTTCTGGTCACTGATGGGATAATTATCATTCAGCTTCCTTTTTGATACAAGTAATGTAAATATTTATTTTCTGTGAAGGTTTGTAAACTGTAGGATTGCTTGGTATATATATATATGTTCTAAAAACAAATATTTATATTTACTTTTAACTTTATTTGCGACAATGGAATTGTCACTTGGTGTCAGTTTTTATTCTATAAAGAACGGATTCTGAAAAAATGCAGTCAAGAAAGAGCCAGTTTCAACAAACAAGTATGAACATGGCTTTCCATGGAAAGTGTGAACGTAATTTTTTGTTAAGTAAACATGCACATAATGAGTTTTTGTGCCTGTGTTGCTAGTTTAGGTGTATAATGCTACTTTAAATATTGCTGTAGAGAACTGTGACTAAAATAAAGAATGATTGTGAACATAAAATTATGAAATTTAAGCAAGACTCGGTTATCCTGTGCTTAAAATAGAATGCTTAAAGTAGAACGCAATCACCTGTTCTTTTTGAAGTAAGTCGCGAGTTTCAATATTTGACCATCATCTACATATATGCTAAGTCATCTAAATTTTATTATTATACATACACACACATGTATTTTTATCATGAATTTCCACCTTTTTAAAAGATTTTTTTTAGAATTAATTTCTAGATTGATTTCTAAAGCTTGACTATATTTTATGTTTTATATGTATATACATATATGGAATATTTCTAACTAGTGTTAGAAGTCCTAATATTAGTAAAAAACACCTTTTTTATATTATCTTTGAAGTTCAACAATAACATGTGTATTAGGTCATCCAGAAGTTGTATAATCTGCGAGTTAATTATATCGATTAAGCACATTGTATTATAATTCATTAAATGCAGAGTTACTTAAAGGTATTAATGAATTACAGCACTGCGTAATAATATACAAAGTGCATTTGCTTTGTTAGAATTTTTGGTATTTACATACTTTTCCCTTTGCTATGGGCGGAGATTCTGCCTAACTATGAAGCATGTCATACTTTATTTAGTTAGATAATTTACAGATGCATGTTGCAGGTATAAGATGTAATTTTGCAGCTGTCAACAGTTGTAATTTTGCAACTGTTAACAGTTGTAATTCTGCAGCTCTTTTTTGGAACAAAATTCGTTTACCATTTTTTTTTCCACATTTCATTGCCATCGCTTGCCAGTTTTATGAGTCTCGTGTAGCATTGTGCCAGAACTTTGTTTATGCTGGAGTAGTTCTGTCTGCATTGAAATCAGAAAAAATGCATTTTTAATAATTTTCTTTAGTCATAACATATAGTGCAGTAGATAATTGTGTTTTGTTGCACGTTATTTCACCAATCAAAATTCATATAAAATATATCCTAAATGTTTCTAGCACACTCGCATTAATAATATCACTGTGTATTGCACGGCAGATGATCACTAGTTAAATGATTAACTTTGATAGGATAATAGGTAGCTAAAACTTACGACACCTGTTTGTCCATGACTGTGACTTTCTCTGACCTCTAATACACATTCTTGTTTATCAAGAAAGAAAATCCATCAGTTAATCTTTATAAAATAATGCTATTTCTTTTTAACATTATCTTTGTGTAATCATCTACTGTTTTTGTTATACTTGAAGATTGATCATTTCTTTGCAATCTAAATTGCTTAATTTCTTACAAAAAATTTGCATTTTGTGATAATCACAAGCAATGAACTTAATTAGTTACTGAAGCTGTGAAGCTGTTCCCATTGCAAATTATGTACTTTCAAAAAAAAAAAAAAGCAAGCAAATAACTTTGTGAACACAGGCTGCTTGCAGTATGCTTGGACTATTTATTTTTAAGGTAAAAATATACCTGTGATACTGATCCCCCCCTCCATTTTTTTAAGCTAAAAATATTGGCTAAAATAATTTTTTATTATTGACTGGGCCAGTTATTACTGCTTTTCTGTAGGCTTTGCAGCTAACCCAAAATATACGTTAATGATGTATGAAGCAGTTTTATCAATTTGTTTAAAATTTAAATAAATTACTTTTAAACACAATAGTTAGTGTTTCTGGTGCTGTTGTTTGTTTTGCTTAAGGATTTTGCTACTTGAGAACAATCATCTCGCAGTAGGAAATATTTTATTTGCAGTTCCATGAATAATTTTGCATAACATTATACATGTATAAATATTGGATACTGTAGGCTGTTTTATTGATTAAATATATATGTAATTTCTAAATTTCTATTTACATATTTTCTTTTTGTTCACATTATATAATAAATATTCAAGCATTTTTTTTTTTTCTTTAAAGACTTTATTGGGAAAAAATTTCAGGTTTCATTTAAGATTTCAATATGTTTGTGTTTCATATGTTGCTTTTCTGTAATTTGAAACATGCAATTGTTTATGTATGTTCCTATTAAGTTTTCATTTAACTTCCCATACTACTGTACAAGTTCAAGATATTTTAAATTGTGTGCTGAAATGGACTTTTCCTTTTTCTGAAGTAGTCTGAAAGAGAATTCAGAATGGTCTAAAGGTCTTCTTCTAATGCAAGAGTATTATTTAGTGCAAATTTTCTATTTAATTGATGTTTTATCTTCTTAGCCAATATATAGTATTTTCTGTTCTTTGAACAGAATGAGATGAATAATCTTTTGTGATGGTTATGTAATGTATATTATTCTTTAAAAAAGTGAAAGATTTCTTCTGTTACACAACTGTGATTTTCAAATTTTTTTTTTTTTTAAATTGTGAGTTTTATTATTTTAAGTTAAGCTTGTTTTAAGTTATTATGGGGACTGTTTGCTCACTTTATGCAAAGTTAAACAGTATTTATTTATAAATAGTTTTAAATCTCTCATTTTCATTAAGGGGGTAAGCTTAAGTTTTTTTGATTAATTTGTAGAGAAATACTGATTTATGACATCACAGCTAGTGTAAAAGCAGTATTGATTTGTTTATATTGTTTAGGATTCTTGAGTTGTACAGAACTATTAAATTATTTTGGAATTTTGTTCACTGTTGAGTAACATTTGAACCTATTATTAACAGAGCCAATTTTTTTTTTCATGACTTAAGTTATTGTTAAAGTTAAGAATTAAATAGATTGTTTGTATTATTTAAATTTATCTAAGTCATGGCCTT